TTTCCCTATCTAGGCTGCTGATTTTCTTCCTGCAATTGTGGACTTTATACAATGTTTATTGACTAATAGAAAGGGAGAAGCCAGTATTGACAGATTTAAAATGGTTAGGCACATTCTGTGTTCAGAATGGCATGAAAAAGAGCTTGGACATACTTGCACCAATATGTGTAAGCAAATGTCCTTTTACTAAGTCTCCTGAACAGCAGTGTGTCAGTGTAATATGTCAATTATCCTCTGCACATGGCAATTCTTTTACCTGGCACAGGATCCTGATATTATAGGTGTTCAGGTAAAAAGCAGTATGGTACTGGCTTTATTTCACTACTGTGATTGATTCTTTTTTAATTAATGAAAAGCTGGATTCTTTATGTACCTTAAGTTCTTGCTAATATCGCTGAATATCTTCTGCAAAGCTGGGCCCAAAGCCCAGGACATGTTGTGAACTGGTGACTTCTTTGCCGATGAAAGGAGAAAATATATTTTGTAAAAAGCTTTATTTTGATGGCATGACAGTAAAAGACTTCCTACTCCAGGTGGATTCTGCACCTGTTTCTTGAGTGTGCAAATAGACACCACCATTATTGCCTATTTCACAGAAGTTAGTTATTCCACCTAGCTGTTAATGACTAGGTTATTAGTTACTCAACCTAGCTGTTAAACCAGTGGCAAGGATAGTCAGTGAATACAGAAAGGCTCTCTGAAGGTGTGATTCATCTGACCTACTTTGGCTGCCTGCTTTAGCGTGAGATGACTCACACCCCAGGAGGTGTGGGTTTCTCTGCATTGGGTATAAAGGGAGCTGGGGGTGACTGCCTTGCAGATAGGTGTCTGCATTCCTCTGTAGCCATCTCACCTTTGTCATCTTTTTACTGAATTAATTGATTATTGTGCCATTTAGGCAGTTTGCTAACAGCCTATCTACCATTCATGAAGAAGAGATTTTTACTTCAAAGAGTGAATTGAATCATCCCTGTCCGTAAAGGGGCTGTACATAAAGTACCTGCTGATTCTCAGTGATTGTGGATGTAATACTGTGAAATCTTGCAAAGGCTTTGATGAACATCAGCTTAAATCTGACTCCGAATCACTGTAATCAAGATTCAGTAAAGGTTTTGATTAGGACATGCCATGATAAATATTTCTGAGAGAGAGAGAAGGAGAAGGCAAATAATACTGCTGTATACTTCTTAAGAGACAAAGAGGCCTTAAAGCCATATATTTATGCATGTCAGCTACTGACTAGTGTTCATGCAGTTGTGTGTTAATTCAGCTTGGGAGGTTTCAGCCTCTGTGGCTTTCCTGGCAAGGAAAGCTGCGCTGTTTTCCCAGCACACTGCTGGCTGCAAGTGTCAGAAGTCTGTGGCTTTCAGTGCTGTCTGTGCTCTCCCCCGTGACGCCTTTTGCACTGCCCAGTATTGTTTCTGCTTTGTTCACAGGTTCTGAAGACACCTATACATTTTGTCTTCTACATTGATCAATAAAGGTCTGCCATGTTATAGACCCGATGCCCTAAAACTGATGGTTTGCCTTGAGCTTCTCGTGTACTATTTCACTGATTTCTCTCTCCCCTATGGAAAATGGCTTCAGGCAGTCTTTTGCCCGATACGTGTACCATATAGCCTGACCTGGATTGCAAAATGTGCAGGAAAATGGCTTTCGTCCTAAGTGGCTGTCACTTTCAAGTAAAATAACACCTGTAAAGTGTCTTAAAAAGAAACTCAGCATTTTCTTTTCTTTTGTCATTTCAATCACAGCCTTCTTATCTGAACTGCACTTTTTTCTCCTTTTCTTCACAAGGGCTTTCTTGTTATGCTTAGTATGCAAAGATGTAGTTAAATTCCCCTGCTGACTTAAATGCGAGCTTCTAGGATTTATGGGCTTTCTTCTGTGATGACTATAAATTGCCCATTGACATGGGAAAGACTCATAGACCTTGAATATGTCTAATTATGTTTAACACATGTGAGGTTGCAGGTAAAGTCACACTGCAGTCCCCCTATGTGCAGACCGAGCATTTGGGCAGGCAGCTATACACAGCTGCATTAAATTCACAGTAGCTGACACATGGCATGACTGTCACTTGCTATGACAATTAGAAATGCAAAATACTCTGATACATTAAAAAGCTGAAGTATTTACCAAGTTGGTCAAAGTGATTTATTTCTACATCCCTTCTCTGTCAGTGCACGGACTGTAATTTACCGCATATACACTAAAATAGAGAGGTTCCACTCTGGATACTTTCTGGGTGCTATTGGAGTATTAAATGTTTCATAATAACTAGATTTTTTTAAAAACTGGTTTCAGTTGCCAAATGAAAATCAGCCTTTCTGTCAGTGTAGCAATTGCAGTCTGACACCTAACAATTTGTCTTTTCTGTACATGTTTTCATCAGGACAAAATACAATTGGAAGTTGGTTGGCAGTTTTGCTAATGGTGCAGAAAGAATAATAAAAACTAATGTTAGAAATGTTGTAGATAATCTGGAATGGTAACAAAAACTGAAAACATTTGAGTTAAAGAACTCATTCTTCCTGTGTTATCCCTCTGCATCCCTTTAAGCACCTAGTTAGGATTTGTTTGAAAAGGTAAACAATTTCATTTTGATACAGCTTGGCTCTAGTTACACCTTTGACTGTGTCTAATTTACAGTGTTATTTCCTTCCAAAAATCCCATTTTAATACTCACTGTTGTCATAATTTCCTCTTTTCCAAGCACTGAGAGGCTGATAGAAATCTGCTTTATAGAAACCTTATCTATTTGTACTGGAATGATACCAGCTATAGTAAGATTTTGTATTTCTTCTTCCTAGCCATCTGCCCCTTTCATTTGGAGTGGGAGCAGATAGGCAGCAGCAATCAGATTTCCTTTGGTTTTCCTGCATCTGAGCTTTTGGACTCATGTGGTTAAAGTCTATCTTTTGCTGGGGCTTTCATCACACCCTTTTTGTCTTCAGTAAGGTACCAGTACTTTCACTATTTCCTTGCCTTTGTCCACGCTATCTTATTTAACCTTGGTAGGAACAAGAGCAATGGTGAATGGAGGGACTGGAAGACCCAGCTTATCCCTCCCATTTGAGTTGTCTGTCTTAAAGTGCTTCTGTGTGTTTCTTGCACTGAAAACTTACTTGAATTACCTCAAATTACTCTTCTCTACATTTTTTTTGCTGTTTCAACTCTTCAGCCCTCCCTGTTTCAGGTATACCTCTTCTTTTTCTTAAGATTAGTGGGTTTGCTTCTCCTTCTGCAGCTTTCAGTTGAAATCTGGTGTTTCAAGCTATGGAACAAAAATGTCACCAGCTGAATGTGAGCATGACGAGTGCAAAGGTGATACCATTTCTTAGCAATCAGCTCTATCGTCAGAGCTTTGATTCCTCATAGGCTAATAAACTATTTCTTGAAAAGCATTTCTCATTATGAACATGTTCAGAAAGAGAAGATCCTTGTTTGACATGGAAGGCCCTCCAAAAAAAGAAACCCACATGAAAAAGTAGAACACTACAATGATTTTGTCTCTTGTATGTATTAAATAACTAGGCTAAGATCTATCATCATCCTGGTATTGTAAAGATTTTTCCAAAGGGCCTTATTCACAAAGTTGTGTTCTCAGTTCTTTTGAAATACGCAGTGTTTTTCTTGAAGCTATTCTGGGGTGGGCTGGCTTCCTGGGATCTCACAGGCAGGAACGTTTCTCCATAGACATTTCAAAAAGAACCAGGCTTTTGGTACAAATATGGTCAATAATTTAATTAGCAGTAATTTCCCTGTGGCATGATTGCGATCATATGATTCTTTGTAGCACACTAAACTACCACTTTGCCACTTGAAAGGATGAGTCTGTCCTGGTTTTAAACCACAACAGAGTCATTCAGTACATTGTATGCTGCATGCAGGTAGGTTGTGCTCTTATCTCTGCTAGCTTCTGCCTCTGGTCATACTTGCCAAGGCTGAAAGAGTCTGGATTCCATGGTTCATGTCACTTGTCTGGCTGCCTGGCCAGTAATCATTGGGCAAATCAAATATTTTCCCACAATATTAAGATACTGAAAAAAATGGTGGCTTTAGCGCCTGTATTTTTTTGTAACACTCTGAAGTGATTACTTTAATCACTGTCTTTCTTTTCTGATAGTCATATTACATTATATGCTTTGATTTTGTTATGATATGCTTTGGTTTTGTTATGAATTTAGAAATTGCAATTTAGAAAATAACTATTAATCATTGAGTAGTGAGTCAAAATGAAGAATTAATTCAGAATTTCAAAGAAGCACATCTCTCAGGCATATTCTTGTTTCAAAAAACATACTCATTGGGCATCTTCTTTTTATTAAATTAAAGCCAGTGTCTTCTCTAGATTTGCTTGATTCTGATTATCTGATAGACAGTTATTAACTTTTAGGAAATGTTGGTCTTGTTTTTTTATGGAAGTTATTTTATTCACAAAGTAGAAATGCTTCTGTTGTTGTTAAGGCACTGTGGTATCCATAGAGAAAAATACATTTAAAAAACGTGGGCAAGATGATGTACTTATATAGGAAAAACCAATAGATGCTTAATCTAAAAAGGTATTCAATTTATTCTTTTTAATTTTAGTAATAAGATTAACATAATAGGAAATTTATTGACTTCTCTAAATACCACAGGCAAATGCTTGAAATCTCAATATTTGAACTGAGAAACACAGTAACAGAACTGGAAAAAAGACTCATCAGTACTGAAGATGAAGGTAAGTGAATTGCAACAGATTCTAGCTAATTGATTAGGAAACAACAGAAAATTCACTTTTTTCAATAGACCCTATAGAGATACAAATTTTTATTTAGAAATTTATGTTTTCCCTTTTCAAACATGACTATTGTAGGTGTGGTGTTGCAAATGTGAAATTAAGGAATACTACATGTTAATTATTAACGAAGCTATGAATAACATGAATTCATAGAGTTGGTTAATATTCTGGCCACAGTAAAGCCAGTGAAAAATTCCCTTGATATATATTTTCAAGCTCTTTTGTATGCACAAATCCTCATTATGAGGATTAGTAACTGGAGACTTTCTCAGTCTCTGAATAAATGTGGGAACGGTTGGAAAAAATGCTAACTTTTACCTGAAATGGCACAAAATAATCTGGGAAACAGAATAACCCTGCATTTCTTTTTAAGGTAATGAATGGAAAACCAGATATGAGATACAAGTAGAATTGAACAAACAGCTGGAAAGGCAAATTAATATTCTTCGAGAAAAGGTAGAGCATATTCGTGGCAATCCAGCAGGTAGAAATGGCTAGTCATAACTCTTTTTCAATAAAATTAGTGATTATATGTTCAAATTATTTCAATGGAACAAATTTTCTGCTTATTTGTAGATAAATTGTCCATTGTTTGCACCTTTGATCAAATGCTTGTGGTAAGTACTATGGCATTAAGTTGGTTAACAAATAGTCGCACTGTAATTGAAGAACTTGTATAATCTTTATTTTTCCATGACAGAAAATGTCAACAGCCTGGTCTAGAAACCAAAACAATCAGTCCTGCTTACTATTTTATTATTTGAGATATGCAGGTGCTTATAGATTTATAAAATGTAGAGTAAAATCATTCAATAGGAGGCATATCAGACCTGAATGCTGGGAAGAATCATGTAGTGAAATGTTTGACTGAGTGAAGGTTGTGTGATTGGACCTGCAGTAAGGCATATGAGATGGAGTAACTGTACTGGTTCCATGAATAAAGGAAAAAATATTGAACCTTGATCACAAAGTCATGGAATCATTTAGGTTGGGAGGGCCCCCTTTGAAATCTGCTAGTCCTCGCCTCCTACTCAAGCAGGGCTAGCTACAGCAAGTTGCCCAGCATTGTTCCCAGTTGAGTTTGAATATCTCCACAGACGGAGACTCCACAACTCCAGTGTTTGACCATTCTCACAGCAAAAAAAATGAGTGTTTTCTTGTGATCAGATGAAATTACATGTGTTTCAGTTTGTGCCCATTGCCTCTCATCCTGTCAGTTGGCACCACTGAAAAGAGTCTGTCTCCCTCTTCTTCATTCCCTCCCATCACAGATTTATACACATTACTGAGATCCCCCTGGGCCTTCCCTTCCCTGGGCTGAACTGTCCCAGCTCTCTCAGCCTCTCCTCATCTGTCAGATGCTCCAGTCCCTTAATCATCTTCATAACCTTGTGCTGTACTTGGTCCAGAGAATCCGTATCTTTCTTGTACTGAGGAGCCTAGAACTGAACCCAGCACTCTGGATATGTCTCACCAGTGCTAAAGAGAAGGGACGGATGACCTCCCTCAGCCTGCTAGCAATGTTCTTCCTAGGGCCATTGTTCTTTGCAGCAAGAGTGCATTGCTGGCTTGTGTTCTTCTTCTTGTCCACCAGGACCCCAAGATCACTCTCTGCCAAGCTGTTTTCCAGCGAGTTGCCCCCAGCATATCCTGGTGCCTAGGGTTATTTCTCCCTGGAGACAAGACTTTGCATTTCCCCTGTTGAACTGAATTTCATGTGATTCCTCTCCACCTATTTCTCCAGCCTGTTGAGGCCCCTCTGAATGGCAACACAATCCTCTGGTGTGTCAGTGACTCCTCCCAGTTTTGTATCAACTATGATAACATAGATGAATAGTTGCAGTAACATTTTGCATAATGCAGTTACAAGAAAATTCCTCATTGTACAGTAAATACACAATTTTTGCAACACCAAAGGAAGTATCTGTTTTCATTTTTTAAAACTTTGTTTCTTAATATGCTCATATTTCATGACCTGTATCTCAACAAAGCATAAAACATTATTCTGTGATCTTGAGAAGAAATGGCAAGATAAAAACAGCAAATATTGTGGCCATTTAGTCTTCTGAATTAGTAAATGAGGTGAAAACAATTTTAGATTCAGGACTGCTTTTTCCTTAGTCTGTCATCTGCTGCAATGTTTTACTTTGTGACATTTTCTGCTTCTTACCCACTTTTAGAAATAAGGAAGGCAGATAAAGATGTGATAACACCTTGTAGGCAGGAATAATGAAGATTATGAGGCAGGGCTCTGATGATTTTTATTGCAGTTGCTTATGCTTACAGAATTGTTTCCATCTTACTTTTTTGTGTTTCAGATTCTAAAGATTAATGGAAGTTTACTGAGCCTAGAGGAGGCTGCATGCCCTATTAGTGGGAATGATTATCTGTGGTAAGCAGGGTGTAAATAATTTACTGCTCTTTCTGGTCAGATCCATGGCTTTCAAATAGCAAACATTCTTTCCAGTTTTAGTACTGTCCTAGAGACCATGTTGTTTTCTAGGTTGGCAGGATATTTGTGGGGGTTTTTAAATAGCTAATTAAAAAAAGAACAAAATTTTTCCCATTCCTCTTTCCTGTTTCACAGAGTTGATTTGAAAATGTAACTGGGATTATATTTGAAGAAAAGTCTTGCATACAGAACATTGATCTAGAAAATTTACAGTAGAGTCTGCTTCAGACAATGTTATTTCTGTCAGCCTGCAAAGCACAGACTGGCATGCGTGCTTACAGTATCAGAAGTGTTTATTTTCATCTAATTGCTAGTGCTTTCTTAACAAATCCAATTACACTTTGTCAAGCACTCGAAGGGTCCTTACCAGTGAGTTAATCTCCTTTACCAGCAGCTGGGCTGCACCAAGCCAGTACATTTCTAATCCCTACTAAATACTGCCCTGCCTCCTGACCTAAGAGCTATGGTTCTGAGAGGTTTAATTACTTTTCCCACAAAGGAAAGAATGACAACTTTCACAACTGAAAGATTGATACAGACAGGAGTCTAGAGAACAGTTTGGAGAGTCCTAAATTTACTCAGTGACACCTAGGGAAAGTGGCATGCCATAGTTTTTTCTTCTACAGTTTTGAGTCCTTCCTTCAGCCTTCTAGCTTAGAGTGAATACATTCTTCTGTTTGCTAGCCAGAGGGGAAAAAACATGCATGGGGATTTAGTGAAGTGTTTCATTTTTCCTTGTTTTGATTTCTGGGAGATGGAAAGAGGGGAAAGAAAATAGATGTAATTTGTGGGCTTTTCTGGTTTTTCTTTTTCATTGAAGCTATCAGAAAAGTCAGTGTATATTTACAGATACTCTTGGAGAATGCAGAGCTGCTTTTTATTTCTTTTAAATTTTAGGAGATAAAAACATTGGTAAAAAAATACACAGATTTTTTTTTATGTTTAAGCTTATAGGTTTATCCAAGTCCTTTTTATGTTTTTGAGAGTTGTTTAGGGAAGTAGGAGGAATATTTAGCTTCTCCACAAATGAGAATAAAGAGCAGATGTGGTGAGTGGGTGTAGAGAAACAAAGAGCTTTGCAGCCAGTCATCAATCTACATTTGCTCAAAGTAAAAGTGCTGAGAGTGGGTATCTATATAAACTCGTGTGTGTGTTAAGTCAAAAGTACACTATGACATTCAGCTTTCAACTTGCAGTTACATATGAAGCTCCATGGAAAGACAGCAAAGCGATTCTTCCAGCAAGATGACACAGTTTCTAGATTATGGCAATGGTAGACAGGAGATTTTGTTTTGAGGAACATATTTAGAAAATTAAATAGTATTTGCAAGTCTTTTTAACCTATGTTCTCAAAGAAGTTAGAATTATGCAGTTAGAGTAATTATAAGGACCTCTAATAATTCTTAACTTCCTAAGCAATTTTAGCTGTGTTTAACACAGAAGATATCTCAAAGATACTAAAGAGATTTGTGTCACACAGATAGTCATTTAAGGTCCTATCATAGTCAGCAGAAGGAAAAAAACATGTCCATACAGTAGTTCATCCCATTTAGAGATAGGTAGCATAAAATATTTTCTACACTACAAGGAAAATAAAAAAAGATTAGTCATCAGGGACCCTGGCAGTCAGCAAGCTATAAAAACCTGAATGAAAGTGAAGAATACAAATGCAAATTCTGGAGTGATGAACAAGGAAGCATAGAGGATTTTCTGTGCTGATAAATTGCAGTAATTGTTGCAGATGGCTTGCACTATTTTTACTTTAGAATTAGAATCATACTGATGAATGATTCCTTGCTATTAAGAAAAACTCTAAGCCATTTAAATACACAATTATCATTCTGAAGTCCTTATACTGACTTGAGATAATTTTATTTTAGTTTCAGAAAAATCGTATAGGTGTCACATGACAGTAAGTGCAGAATCAATACCTTGAGCACACAAATTTTTACAGCCAGGATTTGGAAAATTGTTTTTGGGTACTGAGGGCAGATTAAAAATAACCTAAACAGCGACAAGCACAAGGGAGTTCCAACAGTGAAAACTATTTAGTCAATAATTTCCTTTATGTCCCAATGAATAATACAAATGTCATACAGTACTTCAGAAGTAATTACAGAAGGAATGCCTTCTCTGTAAAGTGTAACATGATGTGAATTTTACTTGCCTCTCTTAAACATGCTGCATTCATTTGTTCGCATTTTTCATTAAACGAGTTTTGGTGAAATACGTGCTCTCTGCTAAGCATAATTTCCCATGTAAGCAGAAGGAGAATTATGCCTTTCTCTCACCATTTCTGCGAGAAAGAATCCCTAGATAGTGGCTTTAGTATGCAAATACTGAAAAGAATACTGCAAAAGCAGTTCAGAAGAGCACACTCCTGATAGCATTGCCTTAGCAACGCTCTAGTTAAGATTAGCTAAGAAACCAAGGTTTCTGTGATAAATCACCATTTCCAGGAATGTCCAGCATCATAGCTGAGAAAATTGTGACATTAAGGGCCAGACACTTGCTTTGCAAAGCTGGCTTTGTGAAAGCACAGGGACCACAGAACTGAGATCCTCACACAACCACCTCAGGGTTTTTGCTATCAGTTTTAAACTGTAAGCAGAAGGTGTGGCAGTGTCACATCAGAGAAGGCGTTACAAGATGACAGGACGGGAATCTTTGGTTTACGAAAACATGCAAGGAAGACTTTGTATTTCAGTAGGTGCTGATAACTGCCTAGGGGGAACATTGACACTTTATAATGGAGTAGGAAATGTTGACAATTCTCCTAACAAGTCACTGTTAAATGAACCTTGTTGCTCTTGCTGGATTAAGCCACCAGTGGCTCTTTGGGAAGAAGAAATCTGGTGTCCTATCTTTTTGTGAAAAGTATTTTGTGAAAAGTATTGGAAGTATTTTGGAGAAAGTTCTGTAATCTGGTGTGACTGCTGTAAGCTGTATCCTGCCTTCTCACAGACTTCCCCTTCCTCCTACTTTCATCTGTCCTTAGATGAATATTTTGGATGTCTCCAAGAGACCTTTTTGTTTTGCATTTTTCCCTTTCCTTGTCATGTTGGCATTAGTTGTTCGTTGTAGTGGCCTTGCACAAAGCAGACTATTCTACTCAAATAACTTTGTGGTATTCTCAGAGGCTTTGTATTTCAAAGAAAACAATCA